TCACATTGGATGCTTTCCACAGGGTACAGTCCTTCAGAAATGCACTGCTCCAGCGTGGGTCCCCCACAGGCCACAAGGCCTGCCAGAAAACCTGCTCCTGCGTTGGCTTCTCTCCACAGGCAGCATTTCCTGTCAGGAGCCTACACCACCGTGGTCCTCCATGGGCTGCAGCTCTCACTCTCCTAAGGGATAAAGGCCAGCCCAGCATGGCTTCTCTTCTGGACCAGACCACCAGATGTCCTGAAGGATGGCTGGTTCCCCGTGGGAGCTGATAAAACTCAATGCTTGTACCACTCCAGTGTCTTGACTGTTGCTCATCCATGTTTGCCTAGTGTCATGGTCTCCTATGTTTCTCACTCTGCTCCCTTGTAGTGAGTAAGGGGGCTGTGGGAAAGAAGTTGAGAGGGGACACAGCCAGGACATCTGATCCAAACTGACCACAGGGGTATTCCATACTGTAAAACATCATGCTCAGGAATAAAAGCGTGGGTCAGAGGAAGATGCGGAGATTTTTATTGTTCAAGGAATGTGCTGCTTGAAAAGTGACTGGGCATCAGTCTCCTTGTGGGAGGTGCTGAAGGATGGTCTTTATTTCGCTTGGTGAGGTCTTATCAGTCTCTTCTCTTCACCTATTAGACTGTCACTATCTTGAGCTGAAACTTTTCACACTTTATTTCTTCCTGTTCTCTGCCCTGTCCCACTGGGGAAGGGGAGGAAAGAATGAGTGGCTGTGTGGCTGCTGAGCTATTGGCCAGAGTCAACCCACCACAGCAGGGAAGTGCTTGATAGCTGGGAGTGAGTTCTCTGCAAGGCCACCAAGATGCTCAGGGGTTGAAGCACTTTTCCGGGAGAAGAAACTGAGGGCAAGGGCCTTGTTTAGCATGGAGAGTGGAAGGTCTCAAGAACCTCATGGCAGTTTGTCCGTCCCTATGGGGATGTTTTCATGAAGATGGAGCCAGTCTCATCACTATGGTGCTTGGCAGGAGGATAAGAGACAACAGTAAGATGTTGAAATAAGGAAGATTCAGGAGAGAGATAAGGAAAATCTTTTCCTCCATGAGGGCATCCAAGCATTGCAACAGGTCTTCCAGAGACATTGTGCCATCTCTGTCCTTGGAAGGTTTCCAGCCACCACTGGATGAAGCCTTGAGCAACGTGGCCTCCATAGCTGGTCCTGATGTGAGTGTTAGGCCAGAACAGAGACGTCTTCAAGTCACATTAAGGAGACCAGAAACCTAAATGATGCCAGGGATCCTTTCGCCCCTTGGTCTTCCCTTGACGACAATAGAGCAACATCTCAGGTTCCCCACAACCATGGACCTAAGTCAGATGTTAGTATAGTCAGACCAGCTGCAGCTTTCTGGTCCTGCTCCAGGCACTGGTGCTCAGACGCAAGGCTGCTTGATAAGTAACCCCAAAACAGTTCGCATAATTTCCTTCGCTTCCCCTTTCATTGCCTTTTCCCCCTTTCCCCCTCTGCAGTCCTACTCTGTAACCATCCTTATGCCCTCCTATGCAAAAAAAAAAAAAGTCAAGTCATCTTTACATTTCCCCACTGGGACTGCATTTGCTCACTTTCTTAAATGATTGCCACAGTGTCTTCTACCTTGATTAGAAACTCCATGAGCACTAGTAATCTTTTATTGTCTTAATTTATGGTCATATTAGAAGCACCATGGCACAGGATGACGATCAGCACACATACATTAAAAGCTGGACAGATGGAGGTTTTGTCCATGGGGACCTCGATACACCTGGGGATTTGGTCAAAAGGAACCTGAAGGTTGAGAAGGAAAAGCTGCAGAACAAGTCCATGCAGCAGTATGGGAAGGGATCTGACCAGTGAAGGAGTGTCCTGAGGAGAAGTCCTGGGCATCATGATGACAGATGCCATAGGATCCAGTGGGCCTCATTTTTCAAAAGGAAAATGGAGAAAGTGGTGAGGGTCCAGAGGAGGTCTGCCAAGATGGAGTGAGGAGCCTAAAGCATGAGCTGTATGGAGAGTCTGAGGGAACTGGGCCTCTCTGGCCTGCTGAAAGGGAGGAATATGTTGCCCTGGTAAGAGCTTACAGCTACCTGGAGAGATGACAGAGCCAAGCTCTCCTCTGCAGTGGCCAATGCTATGACAGAAGCAACAGCCACAAAGTGTCTCTTGGGAACTTTAGGCTGTGCCTTAGGAAAAGTAAAATGGACTAGGCGGAAGACTGCTGTGATCTCTACATTTGGAGATCTTCTTTCAGCTCCACAACATCACAGCCAGCCTGGAGGCTGGACTAGACACCCTCAACAGCCTCTTCCTCACCAACACTTCCATGAGTCTGTTCCATTCTACTCATTCTACAAGAAGAGATTAATCATGAGATGATGTAGTCTACATTATAGGACAACTCAGGGTGGAACGGAGCTCAGGAGGTCTCAAGCCCAGTGCCCAGCTCAAAGCAGGAACAGCTCTGAGGTCAGACCAGCTTGCTCAGTAAATGTCAGCATCCACAGAGAGTTTACACATGAACCAGGTACATAAGCCCCCATTACAGAAATGGAGACAATGCATTTGACCAGCTCCCCGAACACAGCTATTGGTATTCCCTGCCTCCTGTGATTCCTCGGAACATCCACCTTCTACAAGCTTCCTGGAATGTCTCCCCACCACGGGCTGCTTTAGACTGTGAACAGAATTGAAAGCAAGGTTCTGACTTGGGTACTCTTAACATGATTGCTAAAAGAGAGCTAGGTGGAAGGGGCTCTTGTGCAAGATTTAAAGCCTCTGAGAAAGGAGCTGAAGATAAGAGTTTGGAACTAGTACAGCTTTTAGATCAGTCCACATGTGATGGCTCTGCTCCTGACATCCAGTCTTTGACACCCAGAAGCCTCACCTGTTCCTCTCCTCCCAAAACCTCAACAAGTGGTGGGAGGAAAGGAAGCAGAAAGACCCAAGGCCTCTGTGAATCAGCTGGAGTCTGGCACTTGGAGGGCCACAGTGTCATTTCCTTGTACATGTGTCTGAGAATAAAGCTGGGAAGTGAGTCTGCAAGCCCAAGTCAAGGAAGACCATGGACAGGGAAAGCTGTGTCTATGGCTGTGTTTGGAGACCTACAGCACAGATCAAGCTGGGGCTGAAACTCAGGCCTGGGCTAAAAGGGTCTCCTGGGCCCAAGTAACAGAGATGATGAGAGTGCCCCCAGGTGAGGCTGGTCAGGCACAAGAAGGCCTATGGATGCTCTCAGGGTCCTGACACTGCACCCATGGGATCCCACTTGCCAGTGCCCTCAGTAGGCCATATTCTCATTCCCTGATGTCCCGGCTCTGTGCTCTGTTACGTTCCCTCATCACTTCCCTGGGAATGGTCACTTTGGCCAAAGCTGACAATGGTCTTCACATCCCTGACCAGCTCATCCTTTTTTGGTAGTCCCTGTGCAAGTAAACCTCAGACTGGGTGGTCCATTTTGCAGCTGTGCTCAGAACATTTCCACAAACACCACAAGAAACCTCGTGGACTGTTTGCATGCTGCTGTCTCACTTGGCCAGTGAATACTGAGGAGACTGAGGAGTCCCCCATCAAAGCCAGGAGCTGCGATTCACAGATTTCCTTACGTCATTTAAATAGGACATTGGTCACTCCTCACCCTGGACCTGGCTTTGATGGAGTTATGCTCTTCACAGCAGACCATACGGTGATCTGCTTTGGATTTGTGACTAAACCAGCACTGATAACACACCAGTGCTTTGGACACTGCTGAGCAGTCCTTGTAGAGCATGAAGTTTTTCTATTTTTCACACTCTGCCTGCACAGCAAGTAGGCTGGGGGTACACAAGAACCAAGGTAGATGACCCAAAGTGACCAGAAGAATATTGCATACCATAACACGTCAAGCTCAGCAATAAAAGCTCAAGGAAAAGAGGATGAAAAGTGAGCCTTCGTGGTCAAGATATTTCTCTCCCTCTCCCCATGTCACTAATGCCTGTAATGAAGCCCTGCTTTCCTGGCAATGGCTAAACTGCTGCCTGCCCTTCAGTGAATGTATTCCTTGCTTTGTTTTGATTGCACATCCAGATTTTGCTTCGCCTATTAAACTGTCTTTGTCTTGACTCATGAGTTTTCTCACTTTTCTCACTTTTGATTCTCTCCCCCATCCGGCTGGGGGTATAAGGGTTGAGTATGCAATTGATTCTGGGTGTTTAATTGCTTGCCAGGGTCAAACCAAAACTGATTCCTGCCAGTGTCCTACTTGCTGGTCTCTCCTTTGACCCACAGACAAGCTCTCATCTATGCTGTTGCCTGGCCCACAGACGAGCTGCCCATATCTGAACTGCCTGGAAATCACCCAGCACATCCCCGGCTCCTCATCTTCCCTGTCAGTCTCTGCTAAAGATGTTGTATCTCCATCCACCAAAAGAGCCATGGGAGCTGTCCTTCCTCACCTCAGCTCTTATTCCAATGATGTCACAGCTTTGTGATGGCTCTTCCTGCACCCCAGGCTGTGGGCTTTGGTGCACATCTGGGCTGCAGCTCTTCAGCTGTGGCACCAGGGCCAAAGGTAGATTTTCACGTGGAAACCTGGTACCAAGAGATTGGACCCCTTGCGTGAAAGGCTTGCTTCCCAGCAGAGGCATGCTGGAGTGGATGGCAGGTGGAACATAATGATGAATGAGGCCCCCACAATGAGAGCAAAAGCTGCAGTCCCCAAGGTCAGAGAGAGGCAGGCCTGGGCTAGGCAGCCATGGCAGGAGAGGGCTTTGCTGTCCCAGGTGACTCTGCAGCACAGTGGGACCTGTAGGAGAGGTGGAGTTGATCTCCATGGACAAGATGCTGTTGCTGAGATAGTCCCTGGGGGACGACAGCCTGTGATCCAGCCACACTGTGGGCATCATGCTGGGAGCTGGCTGGCTAGATAACAGCTCTGCAGAGCAAGACATTAGGGTCCCAGAGGACAACCACCTGAGCATGAGCCATCAAGGCACCCTCGTGCCAGAGGCCAACAGGCTCCTGGGCTGAATTATGAAAAGCATTGCCAGTAGATAGAGGGAGGTGACCCTTCCCCTCTACTCAGCACTGGTGAGACCGCATATGTGACTTTGTGTTCAGTACTGTGCTCCTCACTACAGTAAAGGTGGTGACCTACAAAAGCAAGTCCAGCAAAAAGCCATAAAGGTGCTTTAAGGGGCTGAAACATCTTTCATAGGAGGAAAGGCTGAAAGAACAGGGACTGTTGAGTCTGGATAAACAACTTGGTCGGGGGACCTTACTGATGTACATGAATACCTGATGGGAAGGAAGGAAGACAAGGGAGCCAAACTCTTCTCAGTAGTTTCCTCTGACAAGGTAAGGGGTGATGGATAAAGACAAAACCAAGTGATTCTAACTGAACCCAAGAAAAAACTTCTTCACTGTGAGGGTGGTCAAACACTGGAATAGGTTACTTGGAGAGGTTGTGGAGCCTCCATCCATGGAGGTATTCCAAACCCATGAAGACAAGGTGCTGAGTAACCTGTTCTAGCTGACCTTGCCTCAGCTGGGGAGTTGGGCTTGAACCCCAGAGGTCCCTTCCAAACTCATGATGTCTGTGATTTTGTGAGCATAAAGGAGAAAATTAAGACTGAAAGAAATGAGCAACACACAGCCTTGACCAGAAATCCAGTAGGATCCTGTGGAGGGGACCCATGCTTCAGAACGGAAAAAGTGTAAGGGAGAAAAAGTGGCAGAGATGTTCTGTACTGACAGTAACCCTCCATTCACCATCCCTCCTGCACCTCTCACAGTCCCGGTGAGTAGAAGAATTGGGAATGATGGAGAAATCTGAGCCTGGGAAAAAGAAGTGGGGTGGGGGGAATGGTCTTTAATATTATTGTTACTGTTTCTCACTATGAATGTCTATTTTAATTGACACTAAATTAAACTGATCTTCCCCAAACGAACTCTTCTTTGTTCGGGACAGTAATTAGTAAGTGGTCTCCTGGTATTTATCTTCACCCATGAGCTATGGCATCTCATTTTCTCCCTCTTGTCCTTTTGAGTTGGGGGTGTGAGTGAGCCGCTGGGTGGGTGTCTGGATGCTGGCCAAGGCTAACCCACTAGAGGAGCACCACTTCAGGACAGCTGTGTCCAGTCTGGGGTGCCCCAGTACAAGAGAGACCCTGACAGACTGGAGCGAGTCTTGCAAAGGCCAGAAAGATGGTGCCCTCGGTTTGGCCAGGATAGGGTTAATTTTCACAAGCAGCCAGGAGGGGACACGCCATGCTCCATGTGGCTGGGGAGCGTGGGCATCAGGCATCTGGTGGTGAGAGTTGCTCTGTGCGTTCTGCTGTTTGTTTTGTACACTCTTCTCAGTGTTTTTGTTGTTACCGTTCACTTCATTTTCTGTTCACAGAATCACAGAATCACAGAACAGTAGGGGTGGGAAGGGACCTCCATGGGTCATCTAGTCCAACCCTCCTGGTGAAGCAGGGTCACCTACAGCACGCCGCAGAGGACCTTGTCCAGGCGAGTCTTGAATATCCCCAGAGAAGGAGACTCCACTCCCTCCCTGGGCAAAAGTTCTGTTAAACTGCCCTTATCCCAACCCACAAGTTTTGCCTTTTTCTTCCAATTCTCCTCCCCACCACACCAGGGGGAGGGCTGATAGAGTGACCTCCTGGTCCTTTGTTGTACCACAACCAAACCACTACATTGCGGCCCTGCGCCCAGCCCTGCCTGTCTGTCTGTCCTGCCATGGCCTCCATGATGTCCCTCTCCTGTCCCCATTGTGCCCCTCATGTGCTCTTTGATGTCCCCATAGTATCCTTCTCATGTCCCCATAAGGTCCCCTGGATCTCCTCTCATTTCACAGAATCACAGAATAGTAGGGGTTGGAAGGGACCTCTGT